CAAAATTTTTCCCCCCCCCCCCCCTCTCTCTCTTATTCTCTTCTTCCACTAACGACTAGGACATCCGTTTCCTAGTTTCCGTTTGTCAGGCCGTCCAGTATTGAGCACAATAAATTATATAAATATTAAAAATCACTAAAAATAAAGGACTCGTCAAATCTATTAAAATATCACAAAATCCCCTATCTTTCAACAAAATATATTCGTACCTGCGGGTAAATCCATCGTCGCTTTCACTCGTGATGAGTCGTCCACATCTCGCGGCAGACCGCCACCCCTAGAAAGCTCCAAAGGGACCGGTTTCCTCCTGAAATCAACCAGGTCTTTCAGGTTCCGCATGTCGAGATTCACGTCTTCGAAGCTGAACTTTTTTCGGCTCTCCTCTCGATTCCTGCCCGTCACGTTCCCCGTGTAGCTCGGGAGCCGGGCGCCGTCCAAAAACACTATCGTCGAGTTTCTGACCCTGGGGACCAGTCGGGGTCCCGCCGAGTCCTTGACATCCCCTGAAAAATTGAATTTGGACACCGCCCGCCCGTCGAGCCCAGAATCCCCGAGGTCGTCCCTGAACGGTGATAAGCTCAGATAGTTGCTCAATATGAGGACGTTGAAAATCGTGCTCCTATTATCAGTGACCGTGTCCTTGACATTGCCAGCACCCGGTTTTTCCGGTTGGAATATCGGGAAATCCTGTGAAACCGCGCCATCCATCGGGGAGTTTGTAAAATACTCACCGCCCAAATCTGGAAACTGGTTGAAAGTTGCGTTAGGGTAGAAGATGTACGGGTTCGCGATCTGTTGGTTCATCTGTGCGACAGCGCTATCTATCGGTGAATCCCTGGAAACCGGGTCCGGTGACTGGAACCGGTTTGGGGATGGTTGTTTCATTCCATCCATCGGTAAGTTTTCCGTGAAACCGTTCCGGTCTAGCGACTGGTTTTGCGTGAAATTGGTGTAGGCGAAGTAACGGCTTGGAATACGTTGTTTCATTTCCGCGACAGCGCTCTCTATCGGAATGTTACTGAAATACACCCTGTTTAGATTTGGTAGTTGGTTTTGCGTCGAGTTGCTGTTGAAATTGTATTGGTTCGGGAGCTGGCGCTTCACTCGGAATTTTTGCTCCGCGTGCTCTGCTTGGGAGATCTGCAAATTCTGCCCGACGGTTCTAGGAAATTTCACGTTTGCTGCGAGAAGTATCATAAAAATGTTGAAGATTTTTGGCGCGTCCATTTAATACTAAATCGAGGCATCGCTGCTCATGCCAGTTTGCATCGAGCGCCGTATTACGTCACCTTACTCATGATGAAGATTCTTCTCATTTTAGGTTAGATTTAGCATAGGTAGCACACTAGTAAAAACATACTCATCATATTAGAAAGATTATATTCACGGGAAAACTACTAAAATCATGGGTAAAACTATTAAAATCACGCTACCTGGGTTTTCATTTTAGCAGAGATTCCGAAATTTCCATAGTGACACGCCAATCGTTTCGATCATTTTTCATGCCATGGCATCTCCAAGAAGTTTTGTTTGAAAAAGTACATAACCTCAACAGCGGAACCTCTTGTTGTTGTTGTTGTTGTTGTTGTTGTTGTTGTTGTTGTTGTTGTTGTTGTTGTTGGAAACTACTAAGGAATGTAACTATTTTATATATTCTTGGAAGCGTATAATTCATCTAAATCCTCAATGTTACCTATTAAGTAAGAGGTTTTTATACATACATAAAAGTCGCTTTAAAGCACTCCCTGGCGCTCTGCGACACATTTCACGACACGATCACAAAGGGGTTTTTATACTGGTTAAAAATGTTGTAGGGAACTTTTTTTTTTCATCTTCTTCTTCTTTTCTTTGTTAGTTCCACTGAAGGAAACGGAAGTGTGATTTAATGATGATAACAAATTAACCGAGCCTTTTCTTTTATTGCGGTGAAATTTGATAATTCGGTCACGTGGTCCGGCAGTTGAGTTTGACAAACTGGTCGTCACCTAAACGTTCCATTTACGTGACTAAGCTTTTTTTTTTTTTGTTTAAGAAGAAAATGTATTTTTCTGTTTTTAAAAACATTGAAGGTGCGTTTCTTTCAACAAATGAATCTCGATTTTTTATCACTGCGGTCCGAGGTCTCTTTAAAGCATTTATCCCGGTTATTTAAATTGTAGCTTCTTATACTTATACCATAATTTTATTTTTTGTTGCAGAACTGACTTGCCGACTGACCAGCGGATTCGAGGTAAGCCTCACATTCATTTGTGGCACATTGTGTTGTGTATGTACATAACTTTGCATTGCATTTACACCCTCAATAGTTCGCATTCTCAGTAGTTCGTATTCTAGATTTCCTTCCATTCCATCTTTTCGAGCCTATACTTCATACTGCTCCGTCTGTGACACTATCATCTGCCAGGGAAACAAGACGTTATTGGATGGTTTAATGGGGTCTGATACAGCGTATTGTACTCGTCGAATGCTCATTCAAGAAACATCGCACGTCTCGTGTTCCATGGAAAATAATATTCTGCTATCATATTGAAGGTAAGTTGAGTCCACTGACTCCCAGATTGAGTCGAATCGGCTCTTTTTCAGCGAAAATGTCAGTAATTTAGAGCTGGCTAGAGCCTTTCTATAGAATTAATCAAAGTCGAATAGAGTTAAGAAAATTAAAATCTTGCCAAATTTGACTTGATCGCATCCTCAATTTGGCAAAGAAGGAGAAGGAAAATGTTGAAATCGCCGCGAGGATAAAATCATGATTGAACTCGTGGAAAAATTGGAGAATAGTATACCAAGATGAATATCTCACGCGCCAAAGCTCTCAAATTCGCGGAGCAAATCAACGTGCGGAAATTACGGTTTTTGTGAATTTTCATACACAAACATTCCGCTTTTGAAGTACGATTGGTGTAAGCAGACGTATATACAGCAGGAATTAGTTTTCCTGCATTTTCAGAGGACTTGGCAATGGCTTCTCATTACCTATCGTATTATATTCACAACGCCCTATATTCGAAATTACCACCTCCCTCGATAAGAAAACATTTAACCGGTATACACGAAGTCAATACAGCAATTTCCGTATTTTTGTCGGTTTTTGATTCCGAGCAACCATCCTACTAGAGTTTATACATTTTTCTGTGGTAACCTATGCTCTGGTGTAAAATATATTTATATTCTTTCACTTTTAAAGCCCTCTTTAAATTATAGGTTTTCATTTAATTTTATCCTTTCGTTCCTCAATACCGACATGCAAAGAAAAAAACAGAAATGGTCTGTTTAACCATGATTTTCATCTCTTCTCGTTTCTGTTAAGAAGTCAGTGTGGGACCATCCCTAAATTACGTGAGTTATACCACAAAAACTTCTTTTTTTTTGACCCAAAGAATCGATTCCTTCAATATTCGTACTTAATCCTGGGCTCACCCTGTAAAGTGTGAAGTAGTTTTTTCGGTCCGTAACTCCTGCAACCATTAAGGAATCTCCAACGTCATCGCCTAGCATTTTTAATTTATTTCCCAGGGCAAAAAGCGCGAATAGAAATCGAGAGGGTCGACTCTGCTGAAACTCGTGAATTAAGCACTGAAAAAAAATTCTCGGCGTTTTTACCAAGGTCCGTTGGTACCTCTACCATCTCACTTTTTTAAACCATTTATTGGTAATTTTACCAAAACAGACTGGTAAGCTTACCTAAAAACCGGTATTTTTACTGTTTTTTTTTTTCAGGTAAGAATACCACTTTTATTGGTAATCAATTCCCGGTAACTTTGCCATTTTATCTCGGTAATTCTACCATAGTCGATAAAAAAAAGTTGGCGTTTTTACCAAGGTCCAGTAAAATTACCGAGAAACTTCAATAATTTTACCGAGATTTCTCGGTAAAATTGAGGACACCGCACCAAGAACAGCCTATAGACGTATAGGTCGTTATTACGCCCATCTGCTTTTCGGATTCTACTTACTCAGGACTATGCTGTGGTAGCGATAGAATATAGATAGGTAACGGCTCGAGGTCGAAAAACCTTTTTTTTCCGAGTTAAGTCAGGCCTCTGGATCGATGGGTGCAAGAACGACCTATAAACGGGCCTATAGGGTGCTAGTTACCCCTTCCTTTATTCACCATCGATATTCTTTCATTTTGCGTAAATGATGCGTGATCATAATTTTTTATACTTCAAATTGCCACCAAAATGACTGTTGGGCGTAAGAATGGCCTATAAATTGCTTTTTTAAATTAAATATATGGGAGTATAAACCCAAAATGTATCGCAAAATCTACCCGGCATCCTTCAATAACACGCTGGGCTTGTCGATTTCCTTTGACATGTTTGCAGTGGTGAATGCATAGCTGAAGTGCGCTCCAGCTAGAATTGTATTTAGCAAATAGGTGGTTTTTATACGAGGATTAAAAATAAACAAGTGGTACGGAACAAAACTAAAGAATATGAACTATATAATGGACCGTAGGTTGATTTAAATTTCTGACCGAACTGTTTTCTAACGCTTCCGTCAAATAAAACACAAATTTATTGAGTTGCATTAGCTCGTAAAATCAGTCATTCTAATGATTTTGTGCTCCAATTTCTTGCGAGACTACAAACCTGATATCAAAACTTGGTCGTTTTGAAAACCCCTTCAAATGCGGCGTGATACCTCACGCATTCCGGGGAGTTCAAATAGTTGTATCATTGCGCCTTAGAAATGTGACGGAAGATTACAATTGAAATAGCCTCCATACACGCTGGGCTTGTCAATTTCCTTTGACATTTTTGCAGTGGTGAATGCATAGCTGAAGTGCGCTCCAGCTAGAATTGTATTTAGCAAATGGGTGGTTTTTATACGAGGATTCAAAATAAACAAGTTGTACGGAATATAACAAAAGAATATGAACTATGCAAAGCGATAATCCGGGTATCGGAACTTGGCTCTTTTGAAAACGCCTTCTAATGCGGCGTGATACCTCACGCATTCCGGAGAGTTCAAATAGTTGTATCATTGCGCCTTAGAAATGCGACGGCAGATTACAATTGAAATAGCCTTCATACACGCTAGTCTTGTCGATTTCCTTTTATATTTTAGTAGTCGTGAATGCATAGCTAAAATGCGCTCCAGCCAGAAGTTTATTCAGCAAATGAGTAGTTTTTATAGGAGGATTGAAAACAAACAAATGGTGGGAAATAAAACATAATAATAAGAACTTTGCAGAACGATAATCTGGGTATCGGAACTTGGCTCTTTTGAAAACGCCTTCAAATGCGGCGTGATACCTCACGCATTCCGGAGAGTTCAAATAGTTGTATCATTGCGCCGTAAGAATGTGACGGAAGATTACAATTGTGGACACCTCACCAAGAACAGCCTGTAGGCGTATAGGTCGTTATTACGCCTATCTGCTTTTCGGATTCCACGTACTCTGGACTATGCTGTGGCAGCGATAGAATTTAAGTAGGTAACGGCTCGAGGTCGAAAAACCTTTTTTTTCCGAGTTAAGTCAGGCCTCTGGATCGATGGGTGCAAGAACGACCTATAAACGGGCCCATGAGGTGCTAGTTACCCCTTCCTTTAGTCACTATCGATATTCTTTCATTTTGCGTTAATCATGCGTGATTAAAATGATTTATACTTCATATTGCCACCAAAATGACTGTTGGGCGTAAGAATGGCCTATAAACCGCTTTTTTAAATTAAATATATGGGAGTATAAACCCAAAATGGATCTCAAAATCTACCCGGCATCCTTGAATAGAAGGGTTAGGTCACCCAAATATCCCAAAACAGGGTACCTGCACAGAAGAGTCTGCGCAGTACATCAAAAACAAAACTTTAAATGCGTTTTTCTCAAAACGCAGTTTCCAGTTGCAGGCTGTTCTTGGTGCGGTGTCCTCAATTACCAATTCCATAAATGGTAATTTTACCAAGAAAAAACTGGGATCGAATAGAACCCTGAATTCTTGGTAATTTTACCATTTTCTTAGTAAATACACCGAGATTTTTTTTTCAGTGCAAAAAGCGCGAATAGAAATCGAGATCGTCGACTCTGAAACTCGTGAATTAAGCCGAACCCGACTCCTTGGCACCGTGTCAACGTTCAACAACTTCTCCAGCAGGAGTGACCCGAATCCACCGTCCGCCGAGATTCCGCATTCCCATTATTTTGTCTATAAATAACGAAAATATTTATTTATAAAAGCCCGGAATCAAACTTAAATGTTCGCGCCACCGCGGCATAAATCAAACGGGTGAACGCGCTATAACGCGAAGGAGCACCAAGATTCGTCCCCTATCTGACGTAAGGCGTAAGGGCGAGTCTCAATTTACACGTGAGCCTAGCAGGCCGATTATTGAAACTGATAGACAGAGCTGTAGACAAAGAAGAAAAAAGCGATCTCGAGGGCTAGCGAACAATGAGCAAGTTGCGCTGGTCTCAGAATCGTTTTCATGGTGGCATGAAACGGAAGGAAGAAATGAAAGATTGGAAGTTTCAGTGAAATATTTCATAAAATTCCACGAGGCAGTGAAGTATTTCACATT